TCACCTGTTGTGAAGTTAAATATCATTTCACGAGAGAATTCCTTCTGGTGCCATCTTCGTCCCAATATACGAAACTGTTGTGGGATTTAAAAAAAAAAAGAGAGAGAGATGATTAAATTAGCAGTGGCGCTCTAAAATTCAGCATGCTGGTTCATTAAAGTCACAGCAGCCTACTTATCTCTGCTTTAAATGCTGAAGAGCTTTGCTGAGCAGAGATCGTTGGCACAATCAGAGCCTTAATTTGTTCCCGCCTACTAAAACAATTATTAAAATAATTAGCACTTGTCCTAGGCACTACCACAATGCAAATCAGAATAAGCCACTCTCCCCCAATGCCAATGCTACTAGATCTGCTGTTAATTTTCCTGTACTTTTGCATATTTTTCTCTGCGGTCCACAGAAGCATCCACAGTTGGTGAACAACAGTGAACTCCAAGCTTCCATCTCATCTGTCCTGGCTGGTGCAGTGAAATGAATGGCCTGGGTTGGTTTGAGATTAGGGCATGGATGAGTGTGATGGAGACTTAATATAGACAAGACTGTTACACTTAACTATGCCTTTGTCACCTCCAGACTAAACTACTAAGAAGTGCTCTAAATGAAGCTGTTTGGAAGCTGAATTTAGTGCAAAATGGAACTACTCAATTAAGTGCAGGAAGCACATTATCCCAGTGGTCTTTAGTTTGTACTCACTGCCTATTACCTGTTCAGTACAGGTTTAAGGAACTGGTTTTGACCTGTAAAACCCTAATAATTTCAGGCTAAGACTACTTTGTACACTGCCTCTTCCCCACCTCGGTTGTGAGCAACAAATGCACTCAAGCTAATGGTTCTTGTGGTGTATAAGAGAGGAGGATAGTGGCAGGTCATTTTCCAGGAATAGCCCCCAACTTTGGAACTTATTCCTACCCTGGTCTGTTAGAGATGGGAATTTTTAATCACCTGAACATGCTGTAAAAGTCAACTTTTTCTCTGGGCTTTTCACTGGGATATCTCCATTGCCTGAATGTGGGAATTATCATCATCAAATTATTAGCTGAATTGCCCAACCTGGATAATTTAATTTCTATGCCTTTATATTTCACATTTTATTCTTATTTTTGCATATTTAAATATTACAGAAGTACCTAGAGCCAAAGACAGGTCCTTTCAAAAAGTCACACAAATAAAATGCATCACACTAAAACAGGTTCTTTAGATTAATCTACTGAACTGGATGTGAGGTTTCAATATATTCCTTCATTGCTTAAAATAAATGTTCCCAACATCCATGTGTGGCAGGAAATATGATCTGGTGCTTAGAGCCGGGGACTGGGAGTTAGAAGACATGGGTTCTGTTCCTGGCTCTGCCACAAATTTGTTGTCTGACCTTGGACAAATCACTTTGCCTCTCAGTGACTTCAATGGCACTTAAGCATGTGTCTAAGTGCTCTGCTGAATATGGACAATTTCCTGAATCAGAGCCTTAATTTCTTCCCACTTACTAAAATGATTAAAATTACTGCCATATGTTTGTACAGCTCCTAGCACAATGGGGCCCTGGTCCATGACTGGGTCCCCTAGGCACTTCTGCAACACAAAATATACAACAAACGACTCTCTCCCAATGCTATAGTATCTAATGGTACTATATTTGCTGTTAATTTCCCTGTAGCTTTTCATATTTGAACAGAGGTGGGCTTAAGCATTAGGGCCTCAGTCAAAGTTTGGTAAACCCTTTACCCAACCTGAATACGGGGATGTATTTTTTCCCCTTAATCGTTTACCCAGCCTCACTGAAAATGTGATATGGTTCTTACTGGAAAGAAAGAGAAAACAATTTACCCTTCATTCAACACTGTAGCAAACCCAGCTAAACAAATCTTCAAAGCGGTTCAGCTGCCCAGATTAGTTCCAAAATTCCCCCTCTCTCTCTCTCTCTCACACACACACACACACACACACACACACACACACACACACACAC